CATGACACAGCCCCAGTGCAACACTGCATGGTCTGGGCTCCCCGTGCTGAGACTACACAGGTGGCTATTCTCAGAAGCACTGCTGCCTCCTCATTCATTCCTCCCTTGAAAACTGCAGGGACTAAGGCATAAGGTCAAGTGAATCCTGGCAACCCTCCTGTACCCTGCTTCCTGCCTGCACTGCATGGAACTAGATGGTTATGGAGGTGGAAAGGTCAAATGTAGAAAACGTGGAAGCTCAACTCCTTGGCAAAACACAGGGGAAAGGTGCTTGTGTTATGAATGCCCCTACCCTGCATGGTTATGGGGCTGCTGGCAGACCCAATGGAAGATGCCCACTAGGACAATCACGCCCTCCACCCCCCAGAGAATTATTGGTAGGGAACTCTGGCCGACACAACCTGCCTGGCCCCTCCCCTGCGGTCAGTGTAACCTATGGCAAGGCAGTCCCAGATAGGAAACCAGTAAGAGAACAGAAACAGTAGTACTATTATCACTCACAGTAAGAAACACTGATTGTAAGGTGCTAAGGCATACTTAATAATACACTTCCTCACAGTGGTTTTAAGGTGGCTTCAATGGGTTAGTGGTTTTAAGACACACTTCTTTGCAAAGATTTTTCAACTGCTTCCCAGAGGCAACTAAAACCTCCTGACTGGTCAAATCTGCCCATGGATTAACTTTATTGTCATGCATTGCAGTTTTACCTCCAAATAATCAATTTATCACTGAACACTTAAACACATCTGAAGTTCCCACTTGGGGTTTCCCCCAAAGTGGTAGTTTAAAAGAAATGGGCTTCTCAGGAAGGCAGAGCTGAATCATATACTTCAAACAACCTTTTGGGTATTAGCCTTAGACTAGAAGCTTAACCAGGGTGGTTTCTCTTATACCTTCATCTAATCGGCAGTTTTTTCAATGGTGATATCTCAAGAGGAGACTAAACAGTTACCTGACCCCCAGCTATCTTTCCTGCTTGGTGCAGGGGGCTGGACCCAATGATCTTCCAAGGTCCCTTTCAGCCCCTTACAATCTATGAATCTCTGCTAACATGGTGTTATTGCTGAAAATGCAGGGTTTTTAAGACTAAATCAAAATAAATTCACACTTCAGAATCTCAGGAATTCTACACTCAGTTTTGGTGATACCCATAACACTGCCTCATGTCACTGGCCACTTTCCACCCAAAAGGTGTGTGTGCCTCTGGCCCAATCAGCAGAGTGTCTGTTATAACATACAAATGCAGCCCAGAACATTGTTACATAGAGATCTAAGCTGCAGACTCTTCCAGCTTACACTGGGGCTGTCCCTGGCAGCCTTAACGCCAAAAATGCAATCCTGGCTCCTCTGCAAAATCACAAGCGTCAGAAGCAAAGAGGAACAGACATTCGCCTATTCACAGCAGTCAGAAAGAATCTAGTTTTTTGTTAGTCAGTAAGCAGCAATGACTGTGGAATTCCCTACCTTGCCCTGCCCATCACTTGAGCATAGTTTGCCACTGGAGTTTTTGAAATTCAAAGAGTTAACCACCTATACTGTTGTGGAAACCAAATGGTCATGGTGCTTTCTTCTGGCATTGGCTCTGCTGCATGCTCTCTGTGCTCTAGGCTGCGCGGAGAGGCACACAGATGTCGGCCGTGGTTGTTCTACAGGCGCTGGGCTCCCCTGGTAAGTCTCAGTACAGAGCTCAGCATTTGGAGCTTAGTGGAAAAAAAACATTTTGGTTCTGTAATCCCTTTTCTGGGGGTTACTGCTATGGGCATGCTGAAGACCCTGTAGGGAGTCCCATTCTTCCCACTTCTAAAGTTCAGCTCCACCAGAACTGGACACCATTTCAAAAATGGTCTCACCAGAGGTAAGGTCACTTCCCCCTTTCTATCTGCTATTTCCTCTTTATATAATTAAGGATTGCATCAGCCTCTTTTTTTGCCCCAGTATGGCACAGACACCTCACACCGAGATAGCTGCTGGATTGTGACTGTTTAACCAGGCAATTTCAGATCGCTCATTAACAATAACATGTACTCCACACAGATTATTGCCTTCATGCAGATTATGGCCTCAACAGTCTTTCTTTTATGTGCAAACTTCACCAGAAAAGACTGTCCAGACCACTGGTTAACTTACTGTGTAGCTCTGAACTAAGAGCTGATCCCATTAAAAACAGCCAAACTCACTGATCTCTCACCCTTAAAAAGTGACATTATTAGCTTGAAAGACTTATTTTTAATCTGATCTGTTCTTGGTTAGTCCCTGTTTAATGTATGATTTTTTTAATGGAAAGGTCAAATGCCTTGGAGAAATCCAGGTATGCTGTATCAACACAGCTACCTTTACCAATCAGATGTATTGCCTCCTATAGAAGTTGTCAGACAAACTTGGCTTTTATCTTCCATGCAACCCTGCTGACTGGCATTATTTATATTTTTTAGCTTCTTCTTTCTTGATATGAATCCTAAATTAGACACTGTGAGGATCAACATCCATCTATCCCACCTCCATTTACAGTGAGACAGTCAAACGGCAAGTTTCTACATAAATGGCAGTCGCCCCAAAACTCCCATGAGCACGGCCAATAATCACTAAGGCGAGTAGCTGGGAAATTGCAATCAGTGATTCTAATGACAGATGCTGGGGAGAAGCACTTACTATTTGTGTTAGCACCTTTCTGAAACTCTGGATCCACCAGCAATGTACAAGCTCCTCTGCAACAGTGCTGATGGTTGTTTTAGGGAAGGGAAATGTCCTTGGCATTTAGAAGAAAAGTCTAAATCACTCTATTTTCTTTTCTGCTGGTTTTTCTGACTTTATTTCCTTTGTTTTCCAAACAGAACAGGTTCTTACATCAAACAAAGGAAACAAGCCTAACTGTATAAGACACATTTATTCAGCTAAGTGGCATGGCACTATTGAAGACTGGGTCCAAGGCTCATTTCAGAATGTGAAACATTAACATCCAGACCCACCAGGGGCCAATGCAGAGTCTGCAGGAATCTGAAAACAAGCTGTTGTTCATCTGATGAATTGTTAACCTTTTTGTTTCCCTAGGCAGCTTTCCTTCCCTCTTCCCCAAGATCTAGTTAAGTCTGAACGACAGCCCAAACAATATTTAAACCAGTAGTTTTCAGCCTTTTTCAACTCTGGGCAAGCTTTGTTACACTCAAGAGACCCCTCATAAAATGTCAGCTCTTTGCTTTCACTCATTTTTGGACTACAGAAACAAAACAGAACAATTCTTCTGTTGCAAGGAGCTCAATAAAGACTTCAACACATACTACAACCGGTCAAAATGTTTTTGGCACTATGAATTCCTATTTAAAATCTCGGAACTCATGGTAGAGGTGGTATCTTTTATTAGACCAACTAGATTTTTGAAAAAAAAAATGTTTAATTGAAAGCTTTTGGGCACAAGCACCCTTCTTCAGGCATAGGAGAAAAGTTTGCAAATGTTCTCCTAGGTAGAAATGAAACTTCATATTTCATAGAAGAGTTAAAGATGTGGTAAAATCTCCTGTTTGGAACAGTTCATTTTAAAATCTCTAGATTTATTGTCAATCATATTATGTAGGGGTTTTGAGAACTAATATTGCACAACACCCTTAAAGGGTTCTCTGTGGAGAATTACTGGTTTAAAAATGAAGAAATGAACTTAGTGAGGCCAGGGAATTTAAGAAAGCAACAGCAATCATGGCTGTTCCTGTACATTTTTGTTTTGGGTGGAAGACATTATAAAATTATAACTGCACTCACTGCTTGATTACTAGAAAAATCAAATATATATCTTTATTCATAAGCATCACATATTCTATGTTTAAAAGAGTTTCATTTACAACACTGTATATCCTTATTAAAATGTAATCAGTTTTATAAATGTGGATCTCTTGGTCACCCTCTCTCCTTGCTCTTCTAAGTATTTCTAAGTACCCTGGCAAACAGTCTAATATCTGCCAATAACGATATGCTCTGGTATAAGGAAAACACATTCCCAGGTAAGAGATAGTGTTTTACCAGCCAACTGAGCAGGCAGAAGATGGGTATTTTTAGAAGGGTGCACATTCAAATTGCTCTTCATGATAAATGTACACTTATCCCACAGGGACTTGGAAAGGATTCTAGAAAAGTGATAGACAGGTAAAATGTAACACCATTGCCTCCCCACCTCTTGTCTGCATTCCACAATCCTTACTAACTTTTCCATCCACAGAAATGAGAAGCATACTTTCCCATTGTAAAATCGTTTCTAAAGAAATGCACAGATATGTTTGACTGCGAACAATCATTAAGAAATCGCTCTAAGATCAAAATTGATTTTGGCCTCTACGGCCACATCCATGTGGATGTTTGTTTTCCTCGGGACAAGTAGCAGAGGCACAAGCAACTTGTCCCCGGGGAATGCCCCTGCCACGCACCCTCTGGCGCGCAGCAGGTTTCGCCAAGTGGGTAGGGGAGGCTGCAGCCAGCAACTGTGCTGGCCCCAACAGCTATACCTGGAGTCCTGGAGACCTCGGGGAGCTGCAGCCATGGCACTCCTGAAGCTGGGAGCCTGGCTGCAGCTGTCCAGGCTCTGGTTTTGGGCTGCATGCACTGCAGCCACATGTGCTGCCCTTATTTTTTGGCATGGGTTTTTTTGACCCCAGAATCAGCACAGGGTACCACATACCACATGCCTGTGCTCATCTGGACACGGCCTATGTCTGGGAAAAGCACTGTCAACGGGACTATTTCTGTGCCAAGTTTAGGGGGCTTGTCATTAGGCTTTTTTACTCTAGTCCTATTAAAGATGTAGGGTTTAAAATATACAACTACCCACCCCTCTCCAGGGCCTCCCACCCACACACACACATATTTGTTGCTCTGCACTCCCGTAACTCAAAACTTGGCTGAAGAGTTTGGTTGATGCTGCATAAATGGTAACACACCAACAAAGTGCTGGTTCCACCTCTCGGTTTTATGGGGGTGACTTTATCAAAAGCCATTATCTGGGGTTTTGGAGAACTGACCTGGTATTTGTCTGGATCAGCCCCTCCAGCCTGCGCCACGAAGAGCCCAGAGCCATCCTCCAGTTCCATCTCGTCAGGGGAGCGTTCAAAACGAATCCGGTCATATTCCTCACAGTCGAGGAACAGCACCACCTCCTCATCCTCCACGCTAATAGCAAAGCGAGTCCACTGGTTCAGGAGGGATGACACGGTGAAAGTGGCAGCTGCATATGAGCTCTGAGACCCTGGTTCTGTGTAGTAGAAGATGATCTGCTGCCTCCCTTCCTTTGCATCAGAGAGCTTAATGCCAATGTAAATAACAGTCTGTGAAGAGTCCGTGATGGCAAAGAGCACGCCGGCCTTGTTAGTTGTGGGCTGAATATGGAACAGGAGTGAAAAGTCCCGATAAAAAGGGCTTGGCAAGTGGTATCGGGCCACTTGACCAGTGTTGGCATCAGGGCCAAAGACATAGCCGGGATTGTTGTCAGGGCCATAAATTTTGGTTATCTGCTCTGGTGGGGGATCTCCAATCAGCTCTAAGAGTCCAACTTCTGTGCTGAAATTTTCTGCAAGAGAAGAAAATTGGAGACTGATAAACAAACTGAACGTGGCTCAACAGCTGACTAGAGCAGCAAGAGACAACTGGAGTCTCCAGTACAAGTGTGCGCTTCAGCCCCGATCCTGCGATGACAACAGACAAATGCCAATCGCCACAAACCAACTTTGCCTATAGGCATGCCCCTGTGGGACTGGGTCTGCTTTAGCACAAAGGGGGCAGGTGTTGAGTATGGCTGACATGGGAGGTGAAACCTGATGTCCCAACATGTCAAATAGAGGAGTCTTATTTCCTTAACTTCCTTTCACTGGAATCAGGTTATTCCCAGGTTTTGAAATTTGAATGTTTTCTCTTTTAGGGAAGATAATTCCGGTGAAGCAAAGTGTCTTCCTTGATACCTGCTGAAACACTGGGCACAGTAAGTCTCCCTGTAGGTGGCCATATTAAGAATGCAATTGTTCTTCCAAAGCTGTAATGTGGAAATTGTGCTAAATATGCTGATTTTCATTTCTCTTCCTTTGTTTTTGTCCTGAACTAACAGAACCTTTGTTTGTTATACAACTGCTTTGCCTGGACTTTTCCAAACAATCATTTACTTTTTGTGCATAAGATTTTAAGCCTGCCATAACTGCACAAGGCTTTTTGAGTACCTTGGTACAAGCAGATGAATAAATCCAGTATGAACTGGTTTTGCTGCATAAGTCATAAGGCCCTATACTGCATGCATTATTTTAGATAATAACTAAGCAGAATAAGGACTGGCAAAATGAAGCACTCTCTCAAACAGATGATGAAGATAATGAGGCAAACAAGATCTCTATGAACCACTCTTTCTGGTTGCATTCCTTTACGGCCTACATGGAAAATACTTTACTGCATTTGGCTATTCTGGAAATTATGAAATCTGAACATGAAACAAAAAGCCAGCAACATAAGGAAAGAGAGCATTATCAAAACCCAAACCAGGAAGAAGCTCTTGGAGCTTCTCTGGGGCATTAATGGGCTTGAATTCTAGAAAAAGGAGGCCTCTCACAAGGGCTAGGGAGGCCCCCTTTCACTATATGCATTAATTTATGTTTAGTTTAAAGCAGGTGTTTAAATTGGTGACTGACTGACTACTTTACTCACAGTCAAGGACTAATAGATGGGCACACTCTTTGTTCCCAGAGCAAAAGGAAGCACATGACAATGTGGAGAAAAGTAGGCAAGAAAGAGCTTGTACACGTATCTGAAAGCACAGTTGTGCTGGATTTTTAATATAAAATTTTATTTGTGATCTTCCCCTTATTTTCTGTCCTACACTGATAAAAGTGATATATTTAAGATAAGGAGAAATGAATGTAACATATGATGCACTAGAGTCACCCACTACACTGCGTCCCAAATGGCACTTTGACCTTAGATGAGATCAAGTGACGAGGACAATGACTGGCCAGTGCTAATCCCCAGAGGTAGTATGGGGACCAACAGAAATTCAAGCAGCCTATGGCAGCAAAACCAAGTACCACAAAGGAATGCTTATAAGAAAACCTAGCATACAGTAAATAACTAAGCCACACAAGTGCCTCGTAACAGAATTCTGGTTATTATGGTCAGAAATGATAAAATAGCCATGAACCTGAAAGTAAAAAAAATTGTAACACCTGAAACAGACAGAGATTTATCTTAAATCTACTAAGTTCTAAAGTCTTTTTTAAAAAAACACTAAAAGGTGCCTGTCACCTAAGGGAGATGATCTTACCTACAGTTCAAAAAATAAGTTCTAAAGGAGCAATGACCTTGTTTCATCTTCAGATGGTAAATTTCATCAGGCCCCAGCATTTAATGCTGAAGAACACAGTCTCTGTGTTGTGCCCAGCTTTAATAATCCAATCAGTAGCCATAACAGGCCATTAATTCATATATAGTCAAAGATGCATGACATTTATCACCCTGAGTTCAAACTAGATCCAACTGGTACAAAACCACTGAACAAGCTCTATGGCTAGGGGCAGAAATTACAAAAACTGGTATAAGTGATAAGAAACCAGCTCATATCTGTAACATAACAGAAGCTCAGTCCACATAAACCACTCTCAAAATGCCCCAAACCATTTTAAGATAAACCTAGATGGACACAGTATCAGTCTTAACTGATTTAGGTTAAATCAGTTTACTGAATTTCTATCCCAATTCCCCTCCAAATTCAAGTTAGCTCACAGTCCTCTAGCATCCCAGGATGCTTTGCACCTCTCCCACAAGTCCCACCCCCTTGCAGGGTGGGCGGGCTAACCCAAGCAGTGTGGTCCAAACGAGCAGGGAGGCATGCTCTCTCACCCCCCCAGCTTCTGACCTGGGCCACTGTAGGCATGCAGCTACATTTCCAGATTCAAAAGTGAATGTCTGTTCACTTGCTTATCAGTTCAATCTACGCAGTTTAGATTAACCTGCCAAGATTGAATCAATTCAGCCTCAGGTTTTTTGACCATCTGTACTTAGCCTACGTGGCCCAGAGCTGAGCTACCTAGTTTAGCCAATCTGTCACCTACATTCCCATGGTGACACGTAGGGGGTGCACGCACATGCACCCCCTCAGAGTGCCGGTGCATCCCGTCAAGCTGTACGCCCTACTCAAGCGACAGGCAGGGGGGGCAGGTGGGAGCACTGGTGCCCCCACTGCAAGCACTGGCCAGGGAGTGCAAGCACCGGATGTAGGCCATCGCTGCTCCTGGGAACGCCGCAGCTACTTTTGGGAGCAGTGCAGCTACTCAACTGTCGGTAGGGTTTGCTGTGGGGGGACACCCCATCTCCCCGGTCAGTGCAGCTGGTCATGGGGGACCCCTCCCCCCCGCAGTTGCTGACTGGTCGCTGGCAGGGCATATACCCCCCCCAACTAAGGCAGCACAGGTGCCCATACTACATTCTATAATGTTTTTTCATCTGTTACCAATTCCTTTGCTTCTACTGCTCTTAGCCTTGCTTCTAAGCCTAACTTATTCCTAATTTAAATTAATTTATCTTCCTATTAAGCAGCCTAACAGCTTACTAAAAACTCTACAGGCTACATCTGAAAACCTGGCTCATAAAGAATCTGAAGATTCAATGCTGATTTGGCAAATCAGCAATTCAGACACAGGCACAGCTTTAGAAGTTTTTTTCTACATACTTTGAGGTAGCAGTGCGGCTCATGAATGCTGAGGTGCTGGGGCAAATGGAATGTCCCACAGGAGCACGGGGGGGCTCTCCAGCATGTTCAGCACGAACCCAGAAGTGGACTCGAAGTATTTCCAGTCCACTTCCGGGTCTACCAGGGAGCGCGCAGGGGGCCCCCCTGCATCCGCCCAACCTGATGATCAGCCGCAGGGGGACCCCAGGTGCCCCCCCTGGACCCAGGAGGCACCAGACGCCAAGACGGGGGGGGGGTGGCCCCGCCCGCTTGCTCCCCGGTGGACCAAGAAGTGGACCAGAAGTGCTTCTGGTCCACTTCCAGGTCTGCTGCTGAGCACACTGGGGAGTCCCCTGTGCTCCTGTGCGACACTGCATCTGACCCAACATCGCAGTGTTCAGAGCCCCTGCTACCTAGAGGCATGTATAAAAAACATTTAAAGCTGTATCTACATCCAGATCACTGAATCTCCCCGAATCGATTCAGAGAGATTAAAGGGTCCTCTGATTAGATTCAGATTCAGCCACTGAATCGGGCCAAATTGAATCAGGGACCGAAGCTTCGCACAGCCCTAATAAACAACTGCCAGAGAATGTGGTACAGGTAAGAACTTGACAAGCCATGGGATGCTATGTTTGGACATCTACAGAAGTCAGTGCTTGTGGCTATAGGGTTGTCGTAGAGTGCTAGGAGTCACTAGGATGGGGAATGCTTTGACAGTATTTTAAACCCACATTGTGCATGTTCAAAAAAATAATGGAAAATGCACATGGCCATTTTTTTGCCCAAAGTCCTAGGCAGTACAATGAATGGAGTTGAACTTCTATACCTGATGAAATGACTTGACCTACAGACAACAACAGTTCATTCTGCACTTAGGCTTCTCCAGCTGTGCTGCAATTAGAGTTTTAATATCTGGACAGCTCTTTTATTTCATCATTTTTCCTCTGTTTGCATTTTTCAATCTCTACAAAATACAAAATGAAACTATACCCAATGGAATGGCTAGGGGAAATGCAGAACAGGACAGCACCGCGTTTAGGAAAAAATCCATACAGGTGACGATTCTATCAAATTTCCCTGCAAAGTCATGTGCCAGGGCTGCAGCAGCAACATTAAAGAGCTTTACTAATTGTTCTTCTTTATGGTATCCAATTTTGAGTCATGCAAATTGCAATGCGTAAGCAAGATGATACCTGTAAATCACCAATAGAACTAGGCAACTGTGGGGTTTTTTTTAGTTTGGCGGCCAAACCAAAAAAGATATATATGAAAAAATATTTCTGTTCAAACAAAATGCTTTGTTTAATAAAACCTCTCATTTAATTATTTGGTTATGGAACCCTGTCTTACCCTCCCCCGCTCTTTTTAATTGACCTATTTTTAATACAAAAACACCATGTTGATATTAAAAATTGAAATATTTCTACATTTTTTCAGCCAAAACTATTCAGCCAATATACAGCCTCAATGTGTAAATAGTTTTAGTCTCTTCTGAAACAGTATTTTTCAGCAGGTTTGTTAACTCCCCAGCCCCTCCCTCCTCCCAACCCATTCAGTTTAGTCACTGAATAACCCAAACAGCACTGAATTTTCTCAGCAGACCATGGTTTTAATCATTATTGGATATTTTTCTATAAGGAGAAAAGGGAATTTGTGTGTGTGAGAACAGAGAAGGGCCATAAGACTCAGTTAATAAATGCCTCCCTTCCCTGTAAGATTTTTCCCAAGGGAAAGCAACCAAATACCAGTTGTTTCAAGGGTTTATGGGACAACTCAATCCCAGTGTCAGGGGAGCACCATGTTTAAAATGGCACAAAAGGTTACCTAATAAACAACCTTAATTCTGTGAAGACAGCACCCCA